ACCTCACTTCCTGTAAAGACTCCATCCCATTTTCTCAGTTCCTCCGTCTCATATGTTCAGATGAGGCCAACTTCGACAAGGGAGCTTCCAAAATGTCCACATTCTTCCTCAACCGAGGATTCCCCAGCTCTGTTGTCAACAGGGCCTTCAACCAGGTCCGACTCATCTCCCGCCCTCACCCCTGCTCTTCCCTCCTGCAACAGCGATAGGCTTCCCTTTAATCCTCACCTAACATCCCACCAGCATGCACATCCAGAAGATCAGACGCCATTTCCGCGACCTCCTGCAAGATGCCACCACCAGACACATATTCCCCTCCCCTCCTTTGTCCGCCTTCCGCAGGGACCATTCCCTCCGGGACACCCTGGTCCACACTTCCTTCACCCCCAACACCTCCCCACAGCCCTATGGCACGTTCCCCTGTAACCGGCGGAGGCGCAACACCTGCCCATTTACCTCCTCCCTCCCCAGTATCCAACGGCACAAACATACCTTCCAGGTGAAGCAACACTTCACCTGCACTTCCAAGAATCTAGTCTACCGCATTCACTGCTCACAATGTGGTCTCCTCTACATTGGGGAAACGAAGCATAGACTTGGCGACTGCCTCGCAGAACATCTACGTTCTGCTCGCAAAAAAAGACCCTGCCACTTCAATGCATCACCCTGCTCCCTGGCCAACATCTGTCTCTGGCTTACTGCAGTGTTCCAGTGAAGCCCAACGCAAGCTGGAGGAACAACTCCTCATTCTCCGCTTGGGGACCCTACAGCCCTCCGGACTCCATATCGAGTTCAATAATTGTAGGGCCTAAACTCTCCCATGTCCCAGCCCCCCACCCCACACACCAGGCCTTGTTACCACATAGCCTGACAGTACACACCCCCTGTTGTTATTCACTAACAGTCCCCATTAACAACTATTCACCCTCCCAGCCTGATCGTTAGCAGCTCATTTGTCTGTCCAACTGTCTTTCTCTCTCTTTGGGCTCTATCCTACCGTTTACTCCCTACACCACCCACCTCCCTATTTTCTGCTAGTAAACTGACGTTTTTCCAGCCACCATCAGTTCTGAGGAAGGGTCACCAGACCTGAAGTGTTAATTCTGTTTTCTCCTTCACAGATGCTGCCAGACCTGCTGAGCTTTTCCAGCAACTTTGTTTTTGTTCCTGATTTAACCAAAAGAACTGCGGATGCTGTAAATCAGGAACAAAAACAAAGTTGCTGGAAAAGCTCAGCAGGTCTGGGAGGTGTTGGGGGTGAAGAAAGTGTGGACCAGGGTGTCCCGGAGGGAATGGTCCCTGCGGAAGGCGGACAAAGGAGGGGAGGGGAATATGTGTCTGGTGGTGGCATCTTGCAGGAGGTCGCGGAAATGGCGTCTGATCTTCTGGATGTGCATGCTGGTGGGATGTTAGGTGAGGATTAAAGGGAAGCCTATCGCTGTTGCAGGAGGGAAGAGCAGGGGTGAGGGCGGGAGATGAGTCGGACCTGGTTGAAGGCCCTGTTGACAACAGAGCTGGGGAATCCTCGGTTGAGGAAGAATGTGGACATTTTGGAAGCTCCCTTGTCGAAGTTGGCCTCATCTGAACATATGAGACGGAGGAACTGAGAAAATGGGATGGAGTCTTTACAGGAAGTGAGGTTTGAGGATGTATAGTCCAGGTAGCTGTGGGAATCAGTGGGTTTGTAATGGATATTTGTGGCCAGTCTATCCCCAGAAATGGAAACAGAAATGTGGAGGAAGGGAAGGGAGGAGTCCGCTTGGGGACCCTACAGCCCTCTGGCCTCAATATCGAGTTCAATAATTTTAGGGCCTAAACTCTCCCATGTCTTAGCCCTCCTACCCCACACACCAGGCCTTGTTACCACATAGCCTGCCACAACACACCCCCCTGTTGTTAGTCACTAACAGTCCCCATTAACAACTATTCACCCTCCCAGCCTGATCGTTAGCAACTCATTTGTCTGTCCAACTGTCTTTCTCTCTCTTTGGGCTCTATCCTATCATTTACTCCCTACCTCACCCACCTCCCAATTTTTGCATATAAATTGATGTTTTTCCAGCCACCATCAGTTCTGAGGAAGGGTCACCAGACCCAAAACATTAATTCTGTTTTCTTCTTCACAGATGCTGCCAGACCTGCTGAGCTTTTCCGCAACTTTGTTTTTGTTAAGGAATTAGTTACTTGAACAGCCTAGAGAAGTTGGGATTGATTATTCTTAGAGTAAAGAATTTTAAGAAATTTGATGGAGGTGCTAATAATAAAAGGTTTCATTGGAGCGTTACTGTTTCCAGTGGCTGAAGGCAGCACAGGGCAAATATGATGATTGTCAAAAGTATCAGGGGAGACATGAGGGGAAAAAAATTTAAGCAATGAATAGCTACGATTTTGAATGTGTTGTCTAAATATGATAGAGGAACCATTCAACGATGGCCTTGAAAAGGGAAACAGATAAATACCGAAAAGGTGGGGGGAAATATTAAAGATTCTGGTGAGTGCAAGTTGCTGGATAATACATCTCAACACTGTGATCTGAATTGCCTCTGCTGTGTTCTACAATTCTAAACATTCAGTGCAATGCAAAAATGCCTTCTGAAAACATTACTTATTTATATATCTAGTTCCCTGCATTAGGTTACAGCCTAGAATAGGAATCAAAGATGCACCATTATCTGTGTGAGACTTGAGAGGAGCTACTATGTGGACTGTTTATTATTTTTATTTGTTCCTGAGATCTGAGCATCACTGTCAAAGTCAGCAATTATCACCCATCCCTGGTTGCATTTGATGCTGCAGTCCATGTGTGGAGAGCATACAGGGGAAGTTCACATTTTTTTTTGATGCAACAACAGTGAAGATGTAGTCCTAAACTAGGGTGGTGTGTGACATGGGGGGCAAGCGATTTATATACTTTTACTGACCAGCTGCTCTTTTCTTATATAACTTTATTCTTGTATTCCTGAATGTTCATAATTTAGTATGATATTAATACACAGATTACATTTGTATTTTACAAAATAATGAACACAAGACTGGTTCATGACAATCCATTCTACAATTAGGATTTATTCTGACCATACCACATTTTTGTGCCATGAACAACCTAGTTCTCCAATTTAGAATGATCACACTTGCTGAGAGGCCTAATCTAGATGAATAGTTGGTGATGGAGGAAGTACAGAGAATGGGAGAGAGAAAGACAGCTGCAAGGTGCTCACGGAACTAAGTGACTATGGATGTGAAGTGCAATCTGTACTGTACCTGTCATCTGTTATACAATTTATTGTGAAACATTCCTGTAATTGTCTGAATTCCCACAATTTGTGGGATATTGTCCCTTACAAATAGCACATATGCATCAACTGCAACTGCAAAATTAAAACTTGTAATACAACTATCAGAATCTTAATACAAAAATCAATCTCAAATTTGTACTCTAATATTAAAGTGCTATAATCTAATTTTTTTTTTTCTAATTTCTATTATCAGATTGATGAGTACCATGGTTATAAAATTGCTGACCCATATAGATGGTTAGAAAACCCTGATAGTGAAGATACTAAGGTAAGTAAAAGTTTCTGTAATTATTAATAACGTGCTCAAGAATATGTTCAACATTTTGAAAGGTAAGTCTGCAAAACTTGTTTGATTACATTTTCCATGCTACTTTGTATAACTTTGCTTACTAGACTTTTAGGCTGTAAATGCTGTTTCTATGGGTAATTGGAAATGTAATTTCTATCAAAGTTTCCTTCCTGTTTAGTATTTGCACTGTTTCTTCCTTTATCTGCTGGGTAGTTTTCTTGACACTGACATATCTCTGTTTAGCTATTCAAGTGAGCATTCTTAAGTATTGCAAAAAAAGGCACATTTCATTGAAGCATTTCATTTTGCACTCATTAGGACATTTACAATAATACCAATGTAAAGAGGGACAGTATTTTATACTGTATGAGAAGAGAAAACTGATAGATTGGTGAAGGCATTAATATAGAGAATGCACAATATGGATGATGACCAATATTAACAGTCTTAGCTTTGTTTGAAATTAAACCACGCAAGTTGACTCTAATTAGGTAAAGTATTGCCCTGAGGAATAAACCAGAGAATGGCTGCACCTATTTTGTTAAGTTGAGACAGGCAGTATGTCTGTATATGTTTGTCTATCAGCTAATTACAGACACCTAATATTAATTTATGTCGCTTAGAGTATGTCAAGTGCGTGCCTGACTAACAATGTTAAATTGGTGTCAGTGTGATTATTAGTACACTGGATTATTTGTCCAGTCACAAGCCCATCTATGTTTGAAAACTGTTGTGTTTTGCAAACACAGGCTGGTGAGCAAATGGCTTGAGCCCTATTTACAAGATTGCTGCTAACGTGGAACTGTAGGAATCCTAATGCATCTGTACACCAGTGAAGGTAGGTATGTAATAGACAGTAGTAGAGAGTCCCTTGGTAATCTGAAGTGATGTTGAGAAATTTACCTTGCACCCTCTTCTCATAGGGTTTAAAATATTATTCTCCTCTACATTATAAATGTCCTAATGACAGCAAGACAAAATTGTTGGACAAAATGTCTTCTTTCAGCAGTACTCAAGCCCTGTATTACTGATAGACCAATGACCATTCTTAATGCAAGACATTAGATTGTGAGAAGTGGCTCACTTGAGAGAAGTTTGCAGATAAATTCAATTCTCACTACTTACTTATTTTCAAAATCACCAGCTGAGGATTGTGATTGGGAATCCTGGCTTGTTTTGATTCATCTCCACACTTTCTTCGCTTAATAATGCTGAAGTCATTGTTTACTCAGCATTGACTGGGATTTGGGAGCAGAGGTTGTTCTCTTCTGTGTACTTGAATGCTGCACACAGCATTGCCTTTGCCTTGATCCAGTGGACGATAGGAGAACAGAAGTTATGAGTTAAATAAGTAGAATGATTCCAGTGGCAGAAAGAACGCTAATCAGAGAACCCAGACTAAGGTGATTAGCAAAAGAATATGATGGTATTAAAGGATAAAAAGTTATAGATTAAGGTATTGTGATCTAAAATGCATTTCTGAAACGTGGTGAAAGCAAGTTCAACAGGAAATTTCAAAGGCATACGTGATTACACTGTGGGGGAATATCTTCAAGAGCAGGGAAATCAATAGTAATTGGCCAGTTCTATGAAAGTCAGGTTGAATGCATTGCTGCGTCATTCCAGTATTCTAAAAATTGAGATTAAGATTATGCTTTACCAGCAGCAGTGATCGTTGCACCCCATATGGTTTTGGAGACACTGGAGAAGAAAATGGCAAGAAACGTAGTCCAACAACTGTACCTGTACATGCCTGACAGCAGACTCCCAAAACCACTGATGTAAAAGCAAAATATTGTAGATTCTGTAAATCTGCAATAAAACATAGGGCTGGGGAAACTCAGTAGGTCCGGCAGCACCTGTGAAGAGGCAAACAGTTAACATCTCAAAATTGAAATGAAGAGTCATACTGGACTCAAAATGACAACTGTCTTTCTCTCTCCACAAATGCTGTTGGACCTACTAAGTTTCTCCACCCCTTATTGCTTTTATCCCAAAGAACTGCCGTACTTGTAACTGATAAAGTTGGAATCTCCCCTTGAGACAATAAAAGTACTTTAGAGGTATCTTTAGAACATCTCTGAAGGAGTCAAAGCATACTGGTTAACTATGGGAGACCCTGGCCTATGTTTGAAAAAAACTGGAGAAGGATTGTTTAGGAAGGCAGCAATCACATTGAGAAGCTTCAGCTGAAGGGGGATGAGGTGAAGTTGAGGTTCTGACAGAGTGCACAAACCTGAAAGGGTGGATTTATCCAACTTCTCCAGCATTACCTGATTTGCATGTGAGAAGTCCAATGTATGATCTGTAGATTGTATCAGCGATCGTAGAACACGTCAAGCCAAAGTGGAAGCAAGTCATCCTTGATCAAAGGAACTGTCCAAAAAAAGAAGACCTTCTAAATTCTGTCATTTTACTTACTGGAGTATGCACCAGCTGGAACCTGCTAATAGTCATTCTGCGAATTAGATACGGAAGTGATGTGGCAGTAGCTGGAGACAAGTCTGTTTTTTCTAGGAAAAATTGAGGATTTAAATAATGTCATGTGCACTGAGGAGTAAATTACAACCCATTTCAAGGAAATAAATTAAATCTCTTCTGAAACAATTACAAGCAAATCTGTTAAAAGTGCTCAGGCTTGCATTTTATGACAACATTTAGTGACTCTGGTTTTCATTTTTATACCTACCTGGTATAATGTAGATAAAATGAAAGATCAAGCTGGTTGGTAAAACATTGGTAGAAGTCAATCTTCAAAACCTCCAAGAAATGGGGGCTAACTAAGATATTTAGTACAAAATGTAGTTGCCATTTTAGTATATGGGAAAAAGACCACAACTCCACAGGATGTGGACGTCACTGGCCAGGCCAGCATTTATTGCCCATCCCTAATTGCCCAAGGGGCAGTTAAGAGTCATCCACTTTTCTGTGGGTCTGGAGTCCATGTAGGCCAGACCAGGCAAGAACAGCAGATATCCTTCCCTAAAGGACATTAGTGAACGAGATGGGTTTTTACCAACAAGCAACAATGTTTCGTAGCATTCGTTCTACTTTGATTGGATTCAGTTTCCACCGTCTTCCATGGTGAGATTCGTACCTGGGTCTCTGGATTAACAGCGCAGCGATAATACCACTAGGCCATTGCTTCCACTAATCATGGAAGTGCAGGTATGTGAACTTCAGTTAGGATGTGAGCATGGTCAGCAATGATGTCTTCTATGGTTGGAGAATCAATCCATACTTGTTACAGTTCACATTTTAACGATTACTGGAATTAGAGTTAATTGTAACCCAGCAGGACGTTGTATTCTTTCAGAGTGGAAAGAATCTTGGAGAAAGAGGAATAAAACAACTACTTAATTTTTTTTATTCATTCATGGGATGAGAGCATTGCTGGCTGACCAGCAATTATTGCCCGCCCCAAGTCGCCCTTGAGAAGCTGGTGGTGAGCTGTCTTCTTGAACTGCTGCTGTCCACATGCTGTAGGTTGACCCACAATGCCATTAGAGAGGGAATTCCAGGATTTTGACCCAGCAGTAATAGATGTTTTATGAAATAAATAATCAAATTTGTTCATCGTTATCTTCTATGAAGTCCTAAACGTGCAATTTGGAAAGTATTTGAGATAAATGTTAAATTAGCACTATAATACTTTTAAAATCAAATCTATTGCCGAATCCTTAGAATGCAATTATGAATGGGAATTTTGTTTTTTTGTCATGCCACATTAACTCATTCATCCATAAAGATTCTGTAGTCCATCCCAATGCAGAAATTGTTTGTTGTTTTCTCTCCATATCAGTCCCAGTTGCCAAGCATATTGCATGAAAGACTAGTTTCTGGTATCAGCACTCCATTGTCTACGTCTAATTCCCATCTGTCCCTGAGGTGATTTAACATGCTTGAATAGATCGATTTTAATTTTTTTTTTCTTCTTTAAAGATACCTTTTACCCCTCGTACTTTTACAATTACAGATGTAGATAAAATTACAAGTATTTGTTTTTATTCTGTTTTTGGAATAATGTCCTTTATCCTATTTGAATCTGCTCAAACAAATTTTTTTTTAATCCAAAACTTGTTTTTATTTTGCCTCAATTTTATTTATTCTAGATGGGAAATCCCTAATGGCTTAACCATTATGACATTAAGGTCATTATGTACATTTTTTTGAAATTCTGCTAATTAAGTGTTGCTAGCATTGCAATTGAACATTTAGTATGAACGCTTTTTAAAAATGCAAAGTTGTTTGGACAAAGTATGGCTAGGGGTGTGTTTGTACCATTATTTAGAACACACATTCGCAATGGATTATGTACACCGATCAAATATTTCACTGAAAATGTAAATCTTAAATATCACTTTCAATTTGGAAACTTTCCTTGGCTTGCTTTAATCCTGTGCTCATTTGACCATATAATATTATCATCTCTCTACATAGTGTGAGGTTATACTTTTGGTATCAAGTTGACTGCAGTATTTTTATGTAATTCTAACTGCGGTGCGTAAGTTTAACAACTTTAATTCCTAGTTCTGTCTATTTCGTAAGGCATGATATGCACAGAAGGATATGTCTTGTATTTTTGTTTGTGGAGAATTAAATGAAAAGTCGTCATAATACATTTTGCATGTTGGTGAAGTACTCTGTAAATTTCTGTACTGAATCTATTACTGTAGGCTTACGTGGAAGCTCAGAATAAATTGACATTGCCATTTTTGGAAAAATGTTCAATAAGAGAAAAATTCAAAGAAAGAATGACAGAACTCTACGATTATCCGAAGTACAGCTGCCATTTTCGGAAAGGGCCAAGGTACGTTGAAAATTACCCAGATACTAATTGAGACGAGCTTGACTTTGCTCATTTGCATATTGGTGCAAATATGTAAATAGTTTGCCATAGTTTGTAAATTTCAAATTTAGTTGCATTTATTTTCTTAATTTTTCTTTGCATGTGTGTAATGTTGGCAAGGCTGCATTCTGTCCCCCTTTTCTGAGACCAAAGAAAGTGGCAGCTATCTAGTTTCATGGAAATTATGCTTCCTTGAAGGCATTATGCTTTCTTTTGCACAGTTTAGCTTGCTTCAAGATCATTTGAGATCACTCAGTCCTTAGCCCAAAGGCACGGAAGTGGCAAGTTTCAGACAACTTCGTTTAAACACTAGATGTGAAGCTGGAAAAGCACAGTACGTCAGATAGCACCCAAGGAGCAGGAAAGCCAACGTTTCGGCCCAAAACGTTTTCATCAGGAGTGGGGACGGGGTAGGGAGCCCAGAGTAAATAGAAGGAGGAGAGGGTGATGCTGGGGTCAGGGTAGACGGGTTGGTGATAGGTGGATGCAGGTAGGGGATTATTGTAATTGGTCAGTTGGAAGGGTGGAGCGGATAGATGAGTTGGAAAATGAACAGGTTTGGTCAGATCAGGGAGGCGAGGAGGATGAGGAGGGCTGGACTTGGGATCAGGCTGGGGGTTGAAGGGATTTTGAAGCTGGTGAAATCAATATTAAGGCCATCGGGCTGTAAATTCCCAAGGTGAAATATCAGGTGGTATTTCTCCAGTTTACATTTGGCCTCACTCTGACAGTAGAGGAGGCCAAGGGTGGACATATCACCAGGGGAGTGAGAGAGGTAATTAAAATGGATGGCGACCACAAGGTCGGATTGGTTGGCATGTGCAGAACGCAGATGGTCTGCGAACTGGTCCAGTTCATCATCCCACACCTCTTTTTCTCCACTATATTGAGGACTGCATCGATGCTGCCTCCTGCTCCTACAAGGAGCTTGAACAGTTCATCAACTTTGCCAACACCTTTCACTGCACCCTCAAATTCAACTGCACCATTTCTGACACCACCTTCCCGTTACTGGACTCTGTCTCAATGTCTGGAATCTGGCTCAGCACTGACGTCCATTTCAAACCCACTGACTCCCACCACGACCTCTAATACGTTTCCTCTCACCCACCTTCCTGTAAAAATGCTATCCCATACTCTCCGTTCCTCTGCCTCCACTGCATCTGCTCCCAGGATGAGGCATTCTACTCCAGGACATCCCAGGTATCCCCCTACTTTTAGGGACCGGAATTTCCCCTCCTCTGTAATTTAAGGATGCCCTCAACTGCATCACCACCATTTCCCACGCTTCTACCCTCAAACCTGTAACAATAAGGATCGAGTCCCCTTAGTTCTTGTGTACCACCCCACCAACCTCCTAATCCAATGAATCATCCTCCGATATTTCCACCACCTACAGTCAGATCCCACGACCAAAAAGATATTTCCTTCCTCAGCCCATCCACTTTCCACATTCTTTCTACAACTCCATCAGCTCTACACTCCCCACCAACTTCTCTACCTTTCCCTGCAACCGCAAGAAGTGCAACACCTGCCCCTCCACCCAAGGCCCCAGACAATCCTTCCCGATTTGCCAGAGATTCACCTGCTCTTCATCTACCCTGATCTGTTGCTCTCTGTGGTTTTCCTCTGTATCGAGGAAACCACAATGCAGACTCCAGGATTGGTTCACAAAGCATGCACCAACCAATCCAACCTTCTCGTTGCCGTCTGTTTTAATTCTCTGTCCCACTCCCCTGGCGACATGTCCATCCATGGCCTCCTCCACTGTCAGTGAGGCCAGTGAAAACTGGAAGAACAACACCTGATATTTTTGCCTTGGGAACTTACAGCCCAATGGCCCTTTTTAAATTGACTTCACCCAGCTTCAAAATCTCTCCAACCCCAGCCTTATCCCATGTCCAGACCACCCCCCACCTCACCCTGCCCACTCCTCGCCTCCCTGACCTGACCTAACATGTCCATCTTCCTACATCCATCCGTCCATCCACCCCGCCCTTCCCACTGACCAATCACAATAACCCACTACCTGCGTCCACCTATCACCATCCCACCTACCCTTCCCCCAGCCCCATCCCCTCCCTCTATTTACTGCTGGGCTCCCCTACCCCTCCCCAGTCCTGCCAAAGAGTTTCGGCCCGAAACGTTGGCTTTCCTGCTTCTCGGATGCTGTCTGAACTGCTGTACTTTTTCCACCTTCACATCTATTGACTCCGGCTTTCAACATCTGCAGTCCTTACTGTATCCAATTCATTTTAAGCACTGCTGTTCAGTTGTCAGTTAATTGAGCCTTTGTTTTTTTTAAGCATTACAACAGAAGAGCCTCACTTGCTTCTACATTTAAACTGTGATTATGTATATGTGCAAGGCCAGTTTCTGTTTCCTCTGGATTTGGCAGCAGTGGGAAGAGTGCTGTGATAGAAAATATTTAGCACTCCCAGTGCGTCTGCAGGAAATTTATTAGTTTATTCATGTATATTGCCCATAATATTACTTTATAATTGCTTTAAAATTTTCATATAGAAATGTTACATTGTGAAAAACCTGCGTTTCTATCAAGTAAAATCTTACTATACCAAATAGTTATTTTAATGGTGCTCATTGTTCTTGATATATTTTCCACCTGTTTGGTTCCCTGTACTCTAGTTGCAACCCTTGCTCAAATTCTTTCGTTTTGCAGTCAATGTTCCTATTGAGTATTGTTTTAAACTATATATCTTTGTTGAAGCTTTCAGTCTTGTATAATTGAATAGTTTGCAAGAATACTGTGACAACTTAACAGGGAAGAGCGCACCAATGATTGTGCCCCACTGTTCCTCAAGACATCCCAAAATGTATAAAATCCCATTGGGCATACCAAACTGTGTAACTTGCCTGACTGACTGACTACTATTCAGGACAAAAAGCAATTCATGCCAGGTTCCACTTGTAACAGAAAAATAAAAACAATTTTAAAAAAACACACACAACTCTAACAAAATACAGAAAAGATGGGATTTGTAAGATATAACTTATGCAGTTTAAACCCTTCAGAATCCAAATACACACACTGTCATGATTTCAGACCGAGTAAAGAGACATGGTTTAGTACACATACTGTGGGTGGAAAAAGAGCATAGCGTAAACGTACTTCTAGTGATCAGAATTCCAGTGCATGAGATACAAAGTTATTTTCTCTCAGTCCTTTCGATCTTAGCAATGTTAACATGCTATTTCCGTAGGGTGCTAGTCATTCTTCAATTTGATAGTTAAGTCAAGTTGACATAGGTTTTGTCTTGCTTTAGAATTCTTTTAAGCATTCTTGGTTTTCAGTTCTCAGAGATGCAGACATGGAAGCTCTCTGTTTGCAGGCACTAGATGTTTCTCTATGATGCCCTGGCACCTACAACTTTTATCACTCTGTGGCTCGATCAGATGGCTGTTATCAGGCAGAATTTTCTTAACAAAAAAAAAAACTCCTTTGCACTTGGTCTTGATTTTTCTCTCACTGCTTCACAATGCAACAATGCATTGCGTAGCTCAAATTATATGCAGTGCTTGATTTGTAAGTTGCAGAATACTTCTGGTATTTCAGCTATATAAGTTCAAATTCCATGTCAGTCTGTAGTTGAATAAAATCAAATATGTAATCTCTTATAATACCAGCTTAAGGGGAAAATCAACTGTAGAAATCCTAACAAGTGTACTGACCAGTGAAGGTAGGTTTGCTTTGATTTTCTCAAAAAGGACATCGAGGAAAAGAAGCTGATTTGATTATTCCATTTCAAACGTCAATTTGAGTACAGGTTGGAGACATCCAGACATGCAGTAGTGGATTCCAATATAGTAAAATTTTCACATCAGAAGTATGCAAGTGGTAGGTGGTTATGTGGCTTTCCTTGGAAAACAAACTTTTTTCATGAAATTCAGCAAAGACATTTGTGAAAGCTGGGTGCAGTGAGGCTGCCAAGGCAGCAATATCAATTTGGGTACCTATGGTGTTGTTAAAACAGAACTTGAGTATGCAAGCTTTTGAGTTTATAAGTTCAGTGAATATTGATTCTCACAGTGGTGGCAGGTCTAGATGGTTATGACATAGAGCTACAATGCAGACGTCTATGGCTTCCTTAAGTGATAAATTGCTAATCTATTTATCAATGTCAAAAAAGTACATGGGATACTGCAAGACTATTGATATGCAAGTCCTGAGCGGTCTTCACAAACATGAAGGAATCCTTCACCGTGTAACTGGAATACTTGCCCAAAACTGGTTGTAACAATTCACCCAAATGTTTGACCATTTCATGTTGTGCAGAAACATGATTCTGGAATGCTGTGTGCAGTTCTAGCTGTCCTGTTATAGAAAGGATATTATTAAACTGGAGAGAGTTCAGAAAAGATTTCACCAGGAAGTTGCTGGAAATGGTGGGTTTGACATATAAAAGTAGACTGGGACTTTTCTCACTGGACCATAGGAAGTTGAGGGATGACCCCATTGATAAGGTGAGGGAGTTTAAAAATATGTCTCCTAGTTTTGAGGTGACACGAAAAAGATTTTAAAAGGTAACAACTTTTTTTTTTGAGTGGTGGATGCAGGTACAGTTACAAAGTTTAAAAGACGTTTGGATAAGTTCATAAATAAGAAAGGTCTGAACTTGGCCCATATCCCTCCAAACAAGTGGAACTAGTTTAGTTTGGGAATGTGGTTTGTGTGGACTGGTTGGACCGAAGAGTCTGTTTCCATGCTTTATGACTATGATTTGGTCATTGAAAAGAGAGTGTAAAGGGGCATAACTTTTTTGTATATTTGGATTAGTCCATATGTACGCAGATACCATAAGTTGAAAGTACGTATCATTTGTTGCTCTTACTCAAATCCAACAAAAGTGCTTTCAAGCAAGGCTGTTGGGCCATGCTAAATGGCAGGTCTGGTGGACAAAATTTGTCATTTAACAATGGCGCGCATTTTGCTAGTTCAGTCATATTTGTTCTCTCTTTCTTTCTGCTCTTCCTTCTTATGTTTTTAATATTCGGCACCTCAAGCCTTCCCCGCTGTTTTATATGATCATGGCCGATCTACCGGAGATCTTAACTCCTCTTTTGTGCCAGTTCCCCAAGAGCCCTCAACTCCTCAATATTTCAAAAATCTTACTTGTGTTTTCTACAGTGCAGGGATTCTGAGACATTCACAACGCTCTTGAGAGAAGAACTTCTTTACATCTGTCTTAAGTGAATGTCTACTTATTCTGTAATTATATCCCTAGTTCATTCCCCTAATAGATACTATGTAATAAATTGCCTGTAACCTCAAAACAAATGCACAAAATCTCTCATACACCGCACAACAGTTTGTTTGTATTATTATGTAATAAATGGAGTAGTGAAATATTCTGTCAACTCCATAGTCTTGAGTGATGAAAGTCTAAAGGACTATACAGTTACATATTTTAAACATACATTGTGACAAAGTTAACTTTAATTCAGCAAATTAACTGTAGTCAAATAGAATCGTAGATATGTACAGCACAGAGGCCCTTCAGCCTATCGCATCTGCGCTGGTCAAAAACAATCATCGTTTTCCAGCACTTGGTCTATAGACTTGTATGCGAATGCACATCTAAATTACTTCTTTAATGTTTGAGGGTTTCTGGCTGTATCGCTGTTAGAGGTAGTGAGTTCCAAAATCCCACCTTCCTGTGGGTGAAGAGGTTTTTCCTCATCTCTTCTAAAACTTCTGCCCCGGGTCATTGCTCCCTACATCAAGGAGAAAATACAATTGCCTTTCTTCTAAAACCAATTACAACAATGCCAGTGCAGAGTGAAGCTGTAATCATTTTTTCTCCCGTAACTGCCTCCCTCCCTTCTCATTAATGAGCTGGGAGTATGTTAACTTTGCCTTTTCAACCTTGAAGTTTGCATGTTCTCAATTATGAAATAGAAATAAGCTAAACAGGGGACTCTGGAATGTTGTTCAAAATCCTTGTGCTTCCTCATCATGTGTGCCTTTTCTTTGTCAAGCCTGGACATTTAGTGCCTCCACAGACAATCCTATTATAATAGTCCATTGCGGTCTAATATCTATCTTCTGTAGCCTCATTTGCAGTTGCTATCTAGACACTATCCAGTCCCAAAAGGAACGACTTGTCTTGGGACGATGTTGATGAACATCAGCAATACCATCAGCCCAGACATCTTCCCAGTTAAAGTGAAACTAAAAGACTTTAACAGTATTCAGCTGATTCCTGTGGAAGCATTTCAACTTTAATTCTCCTTTTGTGTGCAAATGGAACCCTTAACAGAAATGGCAGGATTCGGTTTGTCCATGATTGTGTACAGCCCTTTCAATTTAACATCAAATGAATGCTTCTTATGGGCAAAATTTCTCCATCGCCTAATGCCCTATGTTCTATTCAAATGGCTTAACCTTGATATCAGAACATCTCTTAGCTGTGATTCATCTGTGTTTTTTGCCACCAATTTAGTTACTACAGTTACATGCTCAATTGAACTCTGTGTGACTATTTCTAGCTATAATTACTGCAATGCTAACTGGTGTAGTATCTCCCAAGATTACATGTCCTGGGATTCTCCTTTTCCGTCCAGCCATGTCCTCATATGGACTGGCCCTGTAGCCTCCTGTGGAGTCGACCATACTGCCTTTGAATACAGTGGAAGAATATTGATCCATTTAGTTGGGTATTCTGTACACAATTTATTCAGTATGATTCTTTTATAATTCTATTTTCTTTCTCCACAATCCTTGAAGATTGTGGATGATGAGCTATATGTAATTTATGGCAAATCTGTAGTAATTGTAACGTTACAAAACTTTTTCTGCTTAAATGTGTACCACTTGCGCTGAGATTCCCCAAGTACAGAACCCCTTACTGAGGAAAGAACCTTACTAAATCTGTCAGGCATGATATCCCTTTTCATGAAGCCAAGCTGACTCTGCTTGATTATACTATGTATTTCTAAATCTTCAACTATTATATCCTTTATTACTAATAAGTTGTTGATCAATTTTCTATGCAATTAATGCTGTATAGAGAACGATGTTATTTGTGGCCATGCCCACAGTAAGGATACAATAAATTAGTCAAGCCTGCTCTGCCATTCAGAATGATCATGGTTAATCTTGTGGTTTTCTTGACCAGTTCCCTTATCCCTTGATTCTCTGATAGAATAAAAGTCTTTTTGTCTCTTTCTTAGAAAATATTCAATAATGCAGCATCCACAGTTCTTTGGGATAGACAATTCCAAAGATTCAGAACTCTGAGTAAAGACATTTCTGTTTGCTTAAGTCTTAAATGATCGCTTCTTGTCTTGAGACCAGTCCCAATGTTGTAGATTCCTTAGTTAGACACTTTACCCTATCAAACCCTGTCGTAGTTTTGAATGTTTCAATAAGATCACCGCTATTCTTCTAAGCTCCTGAGAGTGTAGGCCTAATTAAAGCATCCCCTTAGGACAACTGTCTGGTTCTCCAGATTAATCTAGTGATTCTTTTCTGTATTGCAATGAATGAATGAATATCCTTCCTTAAATATGGAGACCAAAACTCAATATAGTATTCTAGGTGTGATCTCACCCAAATTCTGTACAATTGTACCAAGACACCTTCATTCTACCAATTCCATCCCCTTGAAATAAACATGCAAGTTGCCTACCTAATTCTTTGTGGTACTATGTTAACTTGGTATAACTACACTCAAGTTCCTCTGAATGTCAGCGTCTACAAGCCTGAACTTTTTAAAAACAAAATTCTATTTTTGCTTTTTTCTTTCTGGAACCAATGAATAGCTTCTTGTTTATGATCTAATGATTATGATCAGATGGAGCTTATGGAATCATAAGAAATAGGTAGAACATTTGGTCATTTGGCCCATTAAACTTGCTCTACTATTCAGTCAGACATAGTTGATCTAATCTTAGTTCGACTCCACTTTATTCCCTGATCCTGATAACCCTTGACTCCTTTGTTGATCAAAAAGTTGTTCCAATACAGCCTTTATGACCTAGCTCCACTGCTCTCTCTGAAAGGGAACTCAAAACATTCTCAACTTTTTGAGAGCATATATTCGTTCTTTATATCCATCTTGCTTGTTGAGAATTTGGAGTTTCAAGCATCTAAATTCCTTTTCTTTCTTAAATTATTTTCTTTCAACAGGTATTTTCACTTCTTCAACACTGGGTTGCAGAACCAAAGTGTGATGTATGTCCAAAATTCACTAGATGATGAACCTCAAGTTTTTCTTGACCCCAACAAATTTTCAGATGATGGAACAGTGGCTTTAAGAGGTTGGTGTTTAAAATATTCTTGGAATCGATTACTTGTATATAGGTGATAAAATTATATTTTTGAGAATAGTTTAAGAATATTGAAATATTTTCTAATTGTTTTCACGTGCATTATTTTACGCTGAAAAAATCTGATCCTTTTCTGTTTCCCCTATACTAATTTAATCAGAAGACAGCCAATGGATTTATCAATTGCCTCCTAACTGATCTCCTGTGGAATTGTGTTCTTTAACTCTAACTCTAAGGCTGTTGCTGTTGATGGGCATGTTTTGATGCTGTCAATCACCTACACTCCATGCAGTTACACATGCTTGTAAATATTAGACTTCAGGTCAATTACAAGATTTTTTTTTTTCGAAGGCTTTGCTTTTACTACAACCTTATCATTTAAGTCCAGACTATGTCCATGAGATGCAAGACTTTATTTTTCTAAGTGGAATTCAGTTGAATTGTATACTACATTGAAGCATTTTCAAGGAAGTTGAGTTCTGTCACTAATACTGCGAGTGACTTAGAATAAATAGCATTAAAGGTGGCCCTGTAAGGGTCAACCAGGTTTGAGAATGTAATGGATCATTGACTGAAAATATTTCTGAAGTATGTCCTTTAAAGATCTAGAAGCATGCTAGGTGAGAATTCCAGGAGCAATGCCAAGTGGCAAGTGACAAGACTGGGATATTTCTCGGATGCAAGATTTACTTGGAAATAGATTTTAAGATCTGGCAACATCCATAAGTTTGTGGTTCTAAAAGCATTGCAAATACATACAAACACATCTGACCACAGGGCTTCTTGAGCATGCTGTGCCATTTAATCACGGCTGACCTGACTACTTCACGTTTCTGTCTGCCCCGGTAACCTTTCACCTGCTTGTAAATCACAAATCTATCTATTTCCACCTTAAATATATATAAATACTCTGTTTCTGTCACATTTTGAGCATGAAAATTCCAAAGTTTCTGAAATATCTATGAGAAAATATTTCTTTTCTGCTTAATTGGGTTATCTTTAAACAGTGATCCTTTAATTTCAGGTACCTAGACAAAGGTGAGAACAGATCCTTTCCACATGTACCCTGTAAAGTTCCCTCAGAATCTTTTACGGTTCAGTAGAGTCACCTCCTCCTTAATCTTCTAAACTAAACCCATCCACCTTTTTCCTCATAAGACAACTCACTCATTCCAGGTATTAGTCCAGTAAACCTTCTATGAACTTCCAATGCATTTACTTCTCCTCTTAAACAAGGAGACCTGAACTGCACACAGTATTCCAGTTGTGGTTTCACCAATGGCTATTTAATTGACGAAAAACCTCCTACTTTTGTATTCAGTTCTCCTTGCAATAAGCAATAACATTCTATTAGTTTTCCTAACTACTTGCTGCACCAGCATGCTAAAGTTACACAGTTTATGAACTCGGGCAGGCAGACCCTTGTGTTGTTTAGCTCTGTAACTTTTCACCATTTAGATAATGTGCTTTTCATTATTCTTCCTGCCAAAATGGACAATCTCTCACTTTCCCGCATTGTAGTTTATTTGCCAGATTTTTTTAACCTATTTTATCCTACCTACATCCCCTTCTGTCCTCTTCACAACTTCCTTTCCTACCTATCTTTGTGTCATCAGCAAATTTAGCAATCATACCTTGGTTCTTGCATCCACCACCACAGCATCTGGGAACTTTTATATGTCATTGTGATCTAGAGATACGTCAGGATGGGGAAGTTACCTGGACCCTTTGTACCTGGAGGCAGTCACACAGTTTAGTATAGGGTCTTCTGATTTGGTCAGTAGTTGGGGTAGGTGAGTGTGACGGGAAGTGAGGTATCTAAGGTTTTGGAGTAGATCTGTAGCTCGGGTTGTGGGTGTTGAGGTTGGTTGGCTCGCCAAGCTGGTTTGTTGTTCCGCAGACATTTCGTTACCGTGCTTGGTAACATCCTCAGTGCAGCCTCTGATGAAGCGTCGGTGTGTTTTCCCGCCTGGTTTTTAAACTCTGGGGTCCATTACGATGGATACCTCACTTCCGGGTTTCCTCCGTAGCGGAATGTATACGGGGTCGAGTTCGATGTGTTTATTAATAGCATGCTTCGTGAAGTGCCATGCTTCCAGGAATTCTCGTGCTTGTCTCTGCCTAGCCTGTCCCAGGATCTTGGTGTTGTCCCAGTCGAAGTCGTGGTTCTCCTTGTCCATGTGGATTGAGATGAGTGAGTATTGGTCGTGTCTTTTTGTAGCCAGTTGGTGTTCATGTACTCTTGTTGTTAGTTTCCTTCCTGTTTGTCCGATGTAGTGTTTCTCGCAGTCTCTGCACGGGGTCTTGTAGGTGACATTGGTCCTGTCCATGGCAGGGAGTGGGTCTTTAGTTCAGGTGAGCACTTGTCGTAGGGTTGATGTGGGCTTGTGTGCCACTCTGATGCCCAGCGGTCGTAGAAGTCTTGTGGTGAGTTCTGATGTGTTCCTGATATAGGGTAGTGTGATGAGTGTGTCGGGGTGTGTAGAATCTTTCTGATGCTGTTCCCGTAGGCATCTCCTGATGCAGTTCTTTGGAGATCCATTATCCTTGAACACTTGGAAGAGGTACTCCTCTTCCTCTTGGCGTAGTTCTATGTTGCTGCAGTGTGTTGTTGCCCTTTTAAACAGTGTTCACACGCAGCTTCGTTTGTGTGTGTTGGGGTGGTTACTATTGAAGTTCAATACCTGGTCTATGCGTGTGGCTTTTCGGTGTACTTTCGTTTGTAGTTCCCCATTTGTTTTGCGCTCTACCATGAAGTCCAGGAATGGGAGTTGTTTGTTCTTCTCCTCCTCTCTGGTGAATTAATGGCAGAATGGTTGAAGTTACAGGCATCGCCAAATTGAAGGAAAAACATAATGTGACAAAGATTAGTGGTAAGCCAGAGATTGGGAAAGTTTTAAAAACTAACAAAATTTGTCCAAAAAATAATAAAGTGGAAGAGAATGAATGTTGAATGAAAATTTGCAGGTTGTATCAAATGGACAGAAAGAGCTTTATTAAATGTATAAAAAGGAAGAGAAAGACCAAAAGCTAGTATAAGCCCCTTAGAGTGCAGGTTTGGGCAGATATTAATGAAAACCAGGAAATGACCGAAGTTGAATAAATACTGTGTTTCAGGCTTCTATTAGAAGATCCTAATAGTGTTCTAAACATACTAAATCAAGAGTCAAAAGGAAGAGACGAAACGATCACAACAACTATTCCTAGTGAAAAACTGCTGGTGAAATGAATATAACCAAAGTTTGTTAGGCTCTCTGGACAGGATAGATTGTACCCGAGGATCCTAATGGAATTGGCTACAGATATAGTGGATGCATAGGTAGTAATTTTCCAAAAATTACTTGCATGCTAGAAATGTTCCAGAGGATTGAAAAACTGCCACTGTTAACACCTTATTTGAAAAGGTGAGGAAAAAACTGTTAGCTTAATGTCTGTTATGGGGAAAATGTTGGAGTTTACTATGAAGAATGTAATGGCAAGGCAATAGAAATGCATAATCTGATCAATTAGAGTCAACATGGCTTCACTGAGAGGAAGTCATGCTAGCTAGTCATACAGCACAGAAACCAACTCTTCGGTCCAACTCGTCAATGCCGACCAAGTCTCTGAAACTAAACTAGTCTGACTTGCCTGCGTTTGACCTATGTCCCTCCAGACCTTGCCTACTCATATACCTGTTCAATGTCTTTTAAATGTTGTAACTACCTGCATCTACTACTTCCTCTGGCAGTTTAATGGTTCCACATACGAACCACCCTCTGTATGGAAAATGTTGCCCCTCCGGTCCCTTTGATTCCTTTCGTAGAGTCATAGTCATAGAGATGTATAGCGAGGAAACAGACCCTTCAGTCCAACTCGTCCATATCGACCGGATATCCTAGATAAATCTAGGATTCGCCAGCGTTTGGCCCATATCCCTCTTAAACCCTTCCTATTCATATACTTCTCCAGATTGTCCCAGCCTCCAGCAGCTTATTCCATACATGTGCCATCCTCTGCATGAAAAAGTTGCCCCTCAGGTCCCTGTTTTTTTTTTAAATCTTTCTCCTCTGTCCTTAAACCTATGCCCACTAGTTTATGACTCCTTGACCCTGGGGGAAAGACCATGTCTATTTACTCTATCCATGCCCCTCATAATTTTACAAACCTCTATAAGGTCACCCCTCAGCCTCCAACGCTCCAAGGAAAATAGCCCCAGCCTATTCATCCTCTCCCTATAGCTCAAATGCCTCCAACCCTGGCAACATCCTTGTAATTTTTTTCTGAACCTTTTCAAGTTTCACAATATCCTTCCTATAGCAGAGAGACCAGAATTGCACCGCTCACCTTAAAATAAATCAGTTAAAGTTCTTTGAGGAGATAACTAGCAGGATAGATAACGGGAAAGCCGAAATCATGTTTGGATTTCAGAAGGTGTTTGATCAGCCGTGCTGACTCTGCTTTGACTGGTCTATGCACTCCTAATGCCCTCCCATTACAGCCTTCATAATAGGCTCTAATATTTTTCCAATAACAGACATTAAGCCAACAGCCCTATAGTTGCCTTTTTTTTTGTCTCATCTGTTTTAAATAAAGGTGTTACAGTGGCAGTTTCCCAACCTTTGAAATGTTTCCAGAATCTAAGGATTTTTGAATTGAATTGAATTAGCTTTATTGTAACATGTACTCAGATGAGTGCAGTGAAAAGTTTTTAAGTCGCCACTCACAGTGCCATCTTGGGTACAGAGTACAATTCTTAGTTACAGAATAGAGAAATGAAAAAATAATTCCATTACAGCTACACACCATATAACCACAGGTCAGAAAAATAACAGTTAAGAGACAAACATCACAGTCTCTCTCCAAGGACTCTTTGCAGCAGACCATGCAGAGGGCCTCCAGGTGGCTGCTGCCACACACCGTGCTAGATAACTCCGGTCACTGGCGTTCCCGCTTTCTAAAATGATACAAGGCACTTGTCAGATACAGCTGAGATACTGTGAACAGCTTTCCTTATCTAAGGAAAGATATACTGGTATTGGTGGCACTCCAAAGAAGGTACACTTGTTTGATACCAGGAAGTGAGGGACTGTCATGGGGGAGAGATTGAGTAAATTGTACTCATTGGATTGTAGAGGTGACCTTATTGAAACAAACAAGGTTCTTAGGGGACTTGACAGGGTAAGTGCAGAAAGGTTGTTTCCTCCTGTGGGAGATACTAGGACCAAAGAGCATAATGTTAGACTAATGTCAAGCTAGGTTTCAGTCTTGGATCTGGCTTGCCCAGTATTACCATTATCTGGGATCAAAAGAAAATTAATCTGTCTTTTAAATGCAGAACTAGTAACATATTTGAAAGAAATTTAAATTGCTGTAGAAGGATCTTTAGTGTTTTGATTTGGGATCGTATCATCTTAGGTTACCTGAAGAAAAAGGATTCCTTGTCTCTGACCTACTCTTGTAACCACTGCCTTGTACGACTAGTCCAGTTCACTTTCTGATCAATGGTAATCCCCATGATGTTGATAGTGGGCGATTAAGTGATGGTAATGCCATTGAATGTCAAGGGGCGATGCTTAGATACACTCTTGTTGGAGGTTGTAATTGCATGGCACATAGTGTATAAATGTTACTTGTCAACCTAAGCCCGAATGTTGTCCAGGTCTTGCTACGTTTGGACATGAACTGCTTCAGCATCTGAGGAGTCACGACTTGCGCTCAACATTGCACATCATCAGTAGATTAGACAAGGTTAAAATTCTGAGGTTTAGATTACAATTACAGGTACAGGGGGGCTGTCGTATGAGGAGAGGTTGAGTAGGTTGGCTTATACTTATTGGAGTTTAGAAGAATGAAAGATGACCTTACTAAAAATATACAAGGTTCTTAAAGGACTTGACATGGTACACACAAAAAGGTTGTTTCTCCTTGACCTGCAGATGATTTAAGTTTATTCAGAAAGGGGCTAAATATTAGAGATTTGGGCTTGATTCCCAATCTATGCCCAACTACCCGTTCTCGGATGAGAGAGTACTGTCGATTATTACAGTTGACTTCTACCTCCGCATTTAGAAAGGGCAAAAAATAACTTCCGTTCCCACTCTTCAGCACTTTCGGTTAACTAGTGCTGGAAGTTGGATATGTTACAACTTTTACAAAGAAATTGCCTGCAGCTGTTATGAGTAATGGCCATTTGCCAGAGATACCAAAGTGCCTTTGGTGCGTGTGAATTTATAGTTGAGCAGGCATGGTTTAAAAACTGACCAAAATAATTTGATTGGTTTGACTCTTTTTAAGGGGATATATTTTGCTAAATCTTGAACCTTTGCCGAGCAATCATTGTAATCGATACCCACTTAAATAATGTTTCCAAGGTTTATTTCCTTCTGGTTTCAGGATATGCCTTCTCGGAAGATGGTGAATATTTTGCATATGGACTGAGTACAAGCGGGTCAGATTGGGTAACAATCAAGTTCTTGAAAGTTGATGGTGCTGTGGAGCTTCCAGATACTCTGGAGAGAGTGAAGTTCAGCTGCATGGCTTGGACCCATGATGGAAAGGGAATATTTTACAATTGTTACCTGAACCAGGATGGGAAGAGTGATGGTAAGTTGAGGTTCTATTGGAAAAGATTATTAAAACTGCACACAACTTCAAATTTTTGTACACACAGATAAATATAGGGCACAGCTAAGATACCTTTTGAGTGGCATAAATTGGGAAAAAATTACTTAATGGAACAGTTTCTAAAATTTCAACGGTCAATCTGTATTTATAACTGAACTTGACCTTCAGAAAGAATAAGAATAAAAATCATGTTTTCAAATCTACTTTGTGTATTTTATAGTTTCCGTTTTAAAAATATGTTAGTTTATTATTGTGCTTGTCTTTGTAAATTTGATAAAAATACTGCTAATTTATTTTGTAGACCTTTTCAGAATTGCTTAAAAGTTGTGAAAATAGCAAAGGAAGGTTCAATCGTTCTGTAAACCCACTTGTTGATTTGAAGATCTATGCTATAATAGAGATAAAAAGCTTGCATTCTACATTCTTTATTTCCATTTGTGCTGCTTAAATAGGCTATACTCTTGTTAATTTGAGTGAGTAGTTTTTGCTTGAAAAATTGTATTGCCCAGTAACTTTCAATCAACAATTGGAATGACACAGTGAAGCCTCTGCAGTTAAAAATAGAAATAAGAATTACCTAGCCATTTGGTCAAAGTGATTGATGAAAGGTCTTGATTTTTATTTAAGGTGTCCTATTTACGAAGCTGGAGAAATTAATGGGTTTAATAACTTGCTGAAGTTAATAACATGATGGGGAGGTGATGGCCTAGAGGTATTATCGCTGGACTATTATTTCCAGAGACCTAGATAATGTTCTGGGGACCCAGGTTTGAATCCCACCATGGCAGATGGTGGAATTTGAATTCAATAAGATATCTGCAATTAAGATTCTAATGATGACCCACCCATTGTTGATTGTCAGGAAAATCCCATCTGGTTCAGTGATGTTGATTAGGGAAAGAAACTGCCATCCTTACCTGGTCCTGTCTGCATGTGACTCTAGACCCACAGCAATGTGGTTGACTCTTAACTGCAATTAGGGATGGGCAATAAGAGATGACTAGCTAGCAATGCTCACATCCCATGAATGGATAAAGGAAAAAAAACCTTGTGTTTAAACTATTTAGGACTGAAACAAGTTTTTCACAAAAGAAGTTACATTTGGGGGAGAAAAACTATCCCCGGTCATTTTTGGAAAACATTTTCTACCATTTGCTTGATCTATTACTTTGGAAACCATCTTGAGTTAACTTGATGTTCATTTGTATAAAATCCTGCAAACTGGCATAAGCACTTCAGATGTTAGATAAAGATAGTAGATTTGTCTTGCATTTTTCCTTTTTAATAAGCTGACCTCAACTACATTATGGATAACAATGGATCAGACATTCCTCTGGTTTCTAAATTTAAAGTTTCCTGAATATTTTGTCCAATGTTAGCATATTGGCCAACTAATGCTGTTTTCATTTTTTACTGGAAACATAATGGATTTCTGGGATATATTTTGTTGCAAATATTAGCTTTATTTTGAAGAGCAATTTACATCCATAGAGGACAGCATATTGAGTGTTAAGTGCTAAATTCACAGAAGTGGCAGTCATAAATTTGATTTAAAAAACAAAATGCTATGATCAGGCAGTGTCTAGTGAGATTAACAGCATTAGTATTTCAGGCAGTGACCTCATTAGAACTAGGGCAAATTAATTGCTGTTCTGTAGATAAAATGGAAGACGGGAGAGAAGGGATAAAAGGAAAAGAATGTAGTAGAGCAAAAGTCAGAAGAGAAAGGTGTAGAAAGCAATGAAAGTTATCAAGGTAAAAGAGACAAACAGAAATTCTCAGTGAGAAGAGCAGGAGTTAAGTGAGTATTCCTGGAAGAGATGTTGCGGTGAATTTGATATCAATGCACTAAAAGCTTGGCAAATTCAGATGGTCATGTCTTGAAAGGATAGGCAGCTGGAAACTAGCCTAATGTTTTCAACCCAAGTGATTGCTGTGCCTTGGTGATATGTCACTGATACCCATTTCTTTGAATTGCTAAATTTCTTAGCAAAGAATGCTGCTATCCAAGTTCTCGCATGGGTTATGTTTCACCAAGAAATTGTCAGTGAGGAGCTGTTAGAAAACTTGCACAGAATTTCTTGTATAAACTGTGTCATAGCCTCAGTAGGATGCTTATAATACAGAAATGGGATACTGTTTAGCCATTATGTTCATGCTGACTCTGTAAAAGCAGCATAACTAGTTTCATTACACCCACCCACGTTACCCTCTACATTTTCTCTCTTCACCTGCTATTCAGTTCCTTTGAAAACCACAATCAGATCTGCTTCCACCACGTTCTTAGACAGTTCATTCCAAAATTCTAAATACCTACTGTGTCGGAAGATTTTTCTTAATCGTATTGGTTGTTCAGCCAAGAACCTTATGTCTGTAACCCCTGGCTCTGAATCCTTTTCTCTATAGGAACAGTTTTTCTCTATTTGCTCTGTTTAGATCACTCATGATTTTGCGCACTTCAAATCTCCTGTCAACCTCCTCTGGGGAGAATAACCCCAACTACTTCAATCTGTCAACATATCTGAAGCTCCCCATCCTTGGAATCATTCTAATAAATCTTTGCTGAACTTTCTGTAAAGTTAGCACATCCTTCATATTACCTGTCCGCAATTGGATACATGACAACCATTCATGACTTTCATTGCTTTTGTACATTAGATCTTTATAAAGTTCAAAATCCCATATGCCTTTTTAAACATTTTCTTGATCTGTCTGCCACCTTAAATGATCTGTGCACATGTACCTCCAAATAAATGCTATTTGCAATTATCAGCTAATGATAATATCAATTATTTGCAATCTATATTAAAGAACTTGGAGAGAGTGATGTTTACTGATGCTGCAAAGATAAGTGGAAAGATAAGCTGGGTGGAGGCCACAGAAAGCAATCAAAGGTTGTGAGCAAGTGACAATGCAGGTGCAGCACAACGTGGGGGAGCCAAGTAATTCACTTTAGTCATATTAATAAAAAAGCTGCATACTTTCTGAAAGACGTGAAACTAGTAAATGTTGAAGTTCGGAGACCAGAGTATGCTTGTACAAGGGTCACAAAGTTAGCACACATTTAAAGTAAGCAATTAGGAAGGCAAATGGCATTTTGGCTTTAATTAAATCCAGCTCGGACCACATCTGGAATACTGCGTGCAGTTTTGGCCTCCATATTTAAGGAAGGGTATATATGCGTTGGAGGTGGTAAAGCAAATATCTGCCAAATCCTGAGATAGTAGGAACTGCAGATGCTGGAGAATCCGAGAC